CCCGCCCCGCCCCAGGCTGCAGATCGTAAGAGCAAACAAGCCAACGGAGCAACCCAGAGCAACCCTGACCGTCCCAGGCAGGCAGCACTGGCGCGGGCGACGCTGCCGCCGCCCCGCTACCTGCACAGCGCAGAGCCCTCGCAGGTTCCAAACCAAACACAGAAACAGGAGGAACCCGTAGGGAGCACCGAAAAACCAACCGGCCGCGCAAAGCTCTCGCACTCGCGCGCACGTGCATGCACACACGCGCAGGGAGGGATCCTGCACCGCCGCAGGGGACATGCGGTTTGGCAGCCGGGGTCGGGAAGAGATGAGGCCAAGCGCTCTCCCCTGCCATAACTGGGTGCCGGCAACTGTACAAACCTCGGTGGCAGTGGTCTCACCATCAGCTGCAGTATCCGTCTGCTCACTGTCAGTCTATTTGGTTAGACAAGGAACCGGGTCCCAAGAGGAAGGCAGGAATAGAGAATAAACCCAGCTCATCAGTACACGCGGCTCACACGGGGAACTGTTAGATTCAACATCCCTGCGAACTGCATTAGCATTGCTTTTCAAACCACGCACAAGTCAAAGAAGCAAAATAAAAGTGCTATATTAGTAAACAGAACAGACTCAGAGGAAGACTCGAGGCGTACTGTACACAGTATATGGCTTTACTGGAACAAATTTATAAGCCAAACGAAACATTACTGGAAAAGTGTTATTTGAATAGCAAATTTTTTTTTCTTAAGAAAGCCAGGTGGCTTTAAAAAAAAACTGTGGGGGGGGGAAAAGCTAGTATTTTCTAAACAAACTTTTCCTCCCATAATGTTTTTTTTAAAGAAAATTATTCATCAAATTTTTGTTCTAGCCAATATAGATTAATGTGGTATTTGACTTTTTATCTGGAGGGGGAAAAGATAATTAAAAAAAAAAAAAAAAAAAAAAAAGGCTACTTTAACAGTCACCTGACTTTCAGCCCCTCATTTGTACAGAAGTTCTTCTTGTCTCCACATTTATACACCGTGAGGCTGTCTGCATTACCAAGGAGTTCAAATAACCATACCCCCAGCCCATCTACTGTCTGTCTGCAGAGTAATGGTAAGGCTCAGATCCCACTCGGTTCCAATAAAGAGCAGCTGATAACGTTAACAACAGTAAAAAGGAAGAAAACTGCCACTAAAAGAATCAAAAATACTTCTCATTCCACTTAAGAATATGGATGAAAGCAGGAGAAAAATGAAAGTACACCCCCCCCCCAAACACTCACTAGGTACAAGTGATAAAAATGAAACAAAGCACAGCATTGCACAGACTGATCTATCCCTGCTTTGCTCGACACCGTGAAGAACATTTTAGTGGTGAACCCAAGTGTCGAGATTTAATAAATAGAGAGTCGAGCGTAGGTTACTACAGGCTGAGAAGAGAGTTCAAACGACTATTTTTGATGTTGTGTAAGCTTATGGAAAACTGGTAAGTAAAGAAAGTGCTCCCTACTGCTCCAGATTGGCACATCCAAGTTGTTTTAACATCAGTGAAAGCTCTGGTTATGATTAGTGATTTTCTGTGGTCCTTAGATAATCTAAAGTAACCCGGGCAGGTAATTTAATGCTAGGACAATACATCCCATCCTCAAATCACACCAGTATGAAACAAGAGAAAAAAGCAACCTACTGGTGGGATGCAGCATCAGTCTTAACTTTGAATTTCCTATCTTCTGTCATTTTCTGACAACTCCAATGTTTTATAAAACTGCTTTTTGGATATTTTTTCATTGCTTTGTTCTCTATCATTCCTTCCTTTGAATAATTTGTATTGCTTGTATGACAGGCAGAAGAATAAGCGGGCATTTTGGACTATTCGGTAAGTGCATGAATGCAAGTTACATGCAATTTTTCAAGCAATAACCACTCACTAGACAGACTGCTTTCATTTTTAAATGAAACTGTAATGCCAAAATAGTTTACCTAGCTGGTCAAATTGCTTTCACTAAAGTGTTAGAAAGTTGTTTCTTTATTAGTGAAGGATCTCACCTCTTTATAACATCATAAGCAATTGTAAAAGTATGGCAATATAAAAAAAAAAAAATCTATGCATTGTCATTCCTATTCAAAAAAAAAAAAAAAGAAGGAATTAATGAATCTAGGCATTTAGTCAATAGAAATACTAGCTGCTAGGGTACAAACACAGAAGCTAATGAAATCTAAGGGGTGAGATTCTGTCTCTGACTGCATGGACTGCCTCCAGATGCACTGCTCAAGGGAGAACGGAGCTCAGCCAGGTAGGAGGTTGGTTTAGGTACTGGTTGCAGCCTTCTGCAACACTGTGTGCAATCTTTTGTGAACTGGGGGGAAAAAAAAAGGTTTCTATTTCGTTTACCATAACAGCAATGAAATCCTAAATAAGGCATAGAATTCACTTTATTGCAACATACATGTCTGCTAATACGCCAATCAATAGCCATGGAGTCAAAGTTGGCATTACTGGGTTACTTGAAATCAAGATCGGGGGTTATTGCAGAGCAGGGAATGGCGAATTAAGGCTCAGCAAGGCAGGTTTCCTCCAGAGTGGAGAGTAAGAAAGGTCGGGCTCGACTCCGAGACGGGCTGTAGTGCAGCTGCTGGTGGGGCTCATGGGCGGGCGAGGGATCGAGCAGGAAGGGAAGGCAGCTATCTCCTGAGATGCTGCAGCTGCACCTCCTCTAACTTGCGATCGTAATTGCTGTGATTTGTTTTGCCAATGTAATGCAGACATGCCCGAGTTTAAAACATATTCACTTTCATGCAATATTTTGAACGAGAAATACCCCCCGGATTAGGCACAAGTCTGTGTTGTCTGCCAGGAAGCACTGCCAGAGCAATCACCCTCATAAAAGAGTGACACTAAAAAGCCTATTTTATACGTTTTTATGCTCAATACTTCCTAACTTTACTAACGAAAAGAAGTGCTCATTTCTGAAAGAGGAACAGACCAATGTATTACAAAAACACTGCCTCGTTATTGCCTCTGGAGCTGGCACCGTACTAATGCTGTTATTGCTATTAGATTAATCCAAGTGCAGAGCTAATGCAAATTGAGACCTAAATGCTATCTCAAAATGAGGACACAAAATGAGACAGCAACATTTTGGATGCCTTTTATCAGAAATTGCACATTATTATTTAGTTGTTAGGCATCACAGAGCCAAAAGCATCTAAAGACAATGTTTTCACAAGATAAATTGATGCGACTTTCGGCTTTCCATAAAAAGGACATGAAATCCTGCACCAAGTCTTACAAAACCAACAGCGGCAGGTTACACAAATGTTTAGATGCGCAAGCTGGTTTACTGAAGACAACTACTGCAACGGCATCGACAAGTGGCCAAGACGGCTTTTTACAAATGGCCAGCTAGTCTGTGATGATCCGATCTGGGCTTTTTTTACATACAAAGCAAAACCCTATTTTCGCATTTGAAGATGAAGGGGAAAAAGGAAAAATAAAGAAAAAATGAACTCATTTTATTCTGTCAGCAAAGAATAACGAGGCACCAGCAAAAACTGAGATGCCAGTTACTGTGTTACCTAAACAAGCAGATTCCTTTCCTTCTTCTGGATATATTATCATATCCACAGTTCCCAGAATCACTGTGGACTCCTCCTGCAGTTGGTTTATCTGCCTGCGATAACCCTGGTGGCTTGAGGCATCAGTTTTGGCAGTGCTAGTATAACACTGCAAATGGCAAGACAGTTCCACATGGCATGGTCCCCAAACAGCTGCAGAACAGCTCTCCCAATCTGACCTCTCACTGATACATTGGATTTAAGCATGGGAAAACAATTTAATCAGCAGCAGAGATGGGATCAAAGCTGAAAATCCAGATCCAGGTTTCGCTGGACCAGAAAGCCTCTTCTGGGCTCGGGCTACCGTTGATGGCCTCTTGCAAAAAGCTGAGTCCACCTGAATTTCGAACACCCTGAAGTTGGTGAAGGTGCCCATTATTATTGGCTAGCTATTTATAGAAACATTACGTATATACATACACATATATATGCATGCGTATATAATTATGCAGGAAATTGTACCTAATTCCCACTGTTTAGGTAAATATTCTAAGCCTAACATAAACTGATGGCGGAAGAAAAGGTCTTGGTGGGTTCAGATATAATACCTCAGAGCTGATCAGTTGCAATTTGTTTAGTGCAACTCACTTTGCATCAGCCGACACAGTTCAAACCAAGCCACTTCCACACAGTGTTGTGCCTAACCCTGGGCCCCAAGCTGCACTCCCAACACGAGAAAAAAATAAAAAAGAAGAAGAAAAAAAAACAACCCCCAAACCAGAAAAAAAACCCCAAACCCACCCCTTCTAACATATCAGCACAGACAGAAATGAGGCTCTGAAAGTAGGACCACTATTGCAGCAATCTAACACTGGTTAGGACTGAAGCACCGAACACGAAAAAGAGTGTGTTCGATGCCGAGGTACACACCTCTTCCTCTGAACTGTCACTCAGGTCATTGGCAAGTGAGGCACTCAAGGAGGCCGCCTTGGGCTCCAGGTAGCAGAGGCACATAGCCAGAGGAAAGGAGAGAGTGAGGGCGTATGGCACTGAGAAAGAGGCAGAGAGCAGAAAGAAAAAAATGAAGAGGAAGCAAGGCACCAGGGAGGGGGAGCGGATGGGAAGGTAGTGCTGCACGCTGGCAGGCAGGAGGTTGGTTTCGGAGAGGTTAGGGAGCGACAGGTAGCCGTCGTCATCCAGGAGGGAAGGAAATGACTCTGGAAGTTGCAAGGAGAAGGAAAACAGCGTTCCGCCTTTGCCGGCTTTTTGCTTATAGCCGAAAGCCACGTCTTGCTCGGCGGAGCAAACTCGCCCCTTTCTGTCAGAGTCCGGCTCCGACTCGCCGTGCTTTGGAGCGCTCTCTTGGGGCGCCTCACAACCTAAGGACTTTGTTCGAGCGCTCTCCTTGCATCTCCTGCGAAGCTTTGCTGAAGATGCATGGGGGCCAGGCTGCGAGGATGGCGAGGGGTGGCAGGAGTCAGTGCCAAGCAAAGATGGCTGGTGACAGAGAAAGAGCAGCAAACAAGGCGCAAAAGCAAAAGGACAAAAAGAAAACTGTAATTAGTTAATTTTCTTCCGTGATGATAAATAATATAT